GAGGAGGCCCACCACCTGCCTGCCCATTGCCTCACACCCTATTCATCTTGTCTCTGACCTCCCCTGTGTTGTCCAGCAGGATCTGCCCTGGGATACGGGCAGAGTGGGGTTTCCCAGGCCAGCTCTGCCTGCCCTGTTACACCATCATATAACTAACGTATTGTTTCTGCCTCTGTAGAGATTTTATGCCATGGCAGTACTTTTGTGTTTCAGGCATTCTTGATTGCTTCTTTTTTTTTTTAAATCCTAATCATATATTTCTTGAATAAATGAGCCTGAGTGTTTGTTACTTGATCATCCTGTTACTTCCTCCTCACTTCGTACCCATGTTCTTTCCCTTTAGCCTTTATTAGAATAGCTTCCATTTCCACAGAAGTGCTATGTTACTTATACGTTACCTTTTTTATCTGCAGTATGCTGTCTATGAAATGGTCTGTAGATGATGGTTACGTGACTTGAGAATAAAGCCCTTAGTTTGGATGTGTGTTATAAACAATTGCCAATAAATGGCCCGATCCTGTGTCCTTTGACTGTACTGGGGGTTTTCCGACAGGCATCCTTGGGTGAGGGCAGGGCAGCTGGCGGCTGGCGGCGCGGCGCCAGCGGGCAGCACGCCTTTGCATTCAGCACAGTCGCATGTCTCTGTGCCAAGAACGAATTTGCTGATTCAAGTTTGTCAACACACAGCTCCCGCTGAACTTTGCGGGCCAAAATCATTCTTGGCACGGGGCCGCGGGCGGCCAGGGGAGCGCGGCCGACACCGGTTCTGGCAGGAGGCGAGCACCAGTCAGAGGAGCGGCGCCCAGCCTTGGCTCCCCCGTTTGCGAGGCTCCTGCACCATGTGTTTGCTGTTGTTTCACCAATGGGAAGAGTGAGTGATAAAAGGAGATTTCCTAGGTTAGTTTTCAAGGCTTTTTTTTTTTTTCTAATTGTGGCTGTCTGGATGATTAATGTGAATAGGAAAATACTGTTAGACCCATTTAAATCATGTTAGACGACATCCATTGCTCATCTGCATAATGAAATACACACTGAACATTACAACCTACGTATAAGAGCCACTGAACTACAAAAATAATATTTTACTCATTTAGATTATGAAGTAAAATACAGGACATGACTACTAATCATAGTATTAAATTTTAAGCCATGCAAATTGTAATTGTCAGAGAAAAAGATCTATAAGTTCAGAAGGCTATTAGCATTTCAGCTTTAACAGTTAATTTGAGTAACATTTTATTTTTTGCTACTGTGCAGTGTAGGAAAGTCTATAGACACATTTACTAGTAAGTGCAGGAGTGTTTGTTCTATATCATTGTTTAATTTCAATTGTTAAAGAAATGTTAGAAATCTTACTTTGCAGTATTAAAATGTGTTCACATTTTATATTACAAAGAGTAAACTGTAATCTTTACTTGGATAAAATCAAATCTAAAAGGCAAATTATTAGTAACAGAGGGATTAAATAATTTCAAGCATTTATTTAAGTACCAAAACAAAACGTGAAGCCTTTAAAAATGTGATTTTCATCAGACAGAAACAGCACTTTCAGCATTTTAAACTAAATACAAATTTTAAAAGTACTGAATTTAGGCTGTCAGGTTTCTATGGTTACCTACCTCTCCAGCAGTTTGGTGAGATGTGTAAATAGGCGTATGAGTCACTTGTAATTATTTGGGTTTTGTTTGTTATAGTTGTAATTCTGTGTTCAGTTTGAATCTAATATAGTTCACACCACATGCTTTGGTTTATGTATATTTTAGTGCGTGTGATTGACAGTGATTGAGCATTTCTTATGGAGTGCTTGGTTTTTTTGTCATAAGTGATATATGTTGGTACTTCTGAAAATGTAAACAACTTCTTCCTGGATCACTGTTTGGTAAACAGGGACTTCTATGATAAGAAAGAGGTCTTTGTTAAGCAAGGAGATAAGTGAAAGATATAAAAAACAAACAAACAAAAAAATTAAAACAGAACAGACATTATATCTTCCAAATTTGATCCATAATCCTATCATTAGAATTCATTCAGTGACCCAAATGTCACATATCTATGAATAAGTTTCCAAGTTATGCATTAATAGCACATACTAATGACTGACAGGTTTAAAAATAAATGTTTTAACAAGGATGCTACAAGTTATCTGCAGCAAGATCATGACTAGAACATCTTCCTTCTGCAGAACATCTTGAATATAAAATCAGAGCTTATTTCCACCCCCAGCACAGCAGTTTAATAGAAACAGCTGTAAACTCTTACACCTTTCTGCTCATATATTTTGAAGTCTGGATTATAAGGATGTAATTCCTCAGCCTTACACTTTTCATTCCAGCAAAGGACATGTAAATATTTTCTCAGTGAAGACTCACTTTCCTAATGTAACTTGTGTTTTCATGTGAAAACAGGACAAGTCGTTAACAACATTTAATACAAGGCAAGGAACACTGCTAGCTGACATTTTTATCAAATGAGTAGTAAGGTAACCTTATTTTATTGAGGTGTTTATCCCCAAATTGCTATCACCGTACACTTTTTTTTTTTTTTTTTATTCCCAAATAAGACTAGCTTACAATTCAGAAATCTTGCATCCTTAGAGGTTTTGCTGCAGGTGTATTGAAAATAAATGTTCTCATTACTTGTGTTTTGTGTGGGGAAAAGACTTCTGACTGCCCGTTCTCTTCCTGTGTCTCAAGCTACACAGAAAATCCTGATACGATGTTGAGGAGCACTCCTAAATTTTCTATGCAAAGATTACTCTTATTGCAGCAGCCTTGCTCACCCACTGAAAAGGTTTCTGTGGGAAGCATTTTGGGTTTTTTTGTGGTGATTCAGATATTTATTCCATTTCAGGTGGAAATATAAGAGGTTAAAGTAGGATTTATTTTTAACATTTAATACGCTATCAGGCATGTGTATAGGACACAAACATGCTGGCTGAAAAACAGTTGTTTCACAGAGCACCTGAAAAGATTTTATCCCGGTAGGATTCAATGAAATGTTAAAGCTGTGGGTGGGTGCATATTAACAACAAGATTTGGCTCTGTGTGTGTGTAAGAACTATCTGAATAGCTTATTCTTTTAATCTGAAACAACTGCTATTTCTGAAATGGAGTAACTTGTTCCAACAGTTATATCCCCACAAAATCAAAATGAAGAATACAATAACCAGCCTTTCAAGTGAAAGTAATTTCTCTGATCTTTCAAAAGAACTAAAGATAGATAGAAAGTGATGGAAAGATATATTTGAATATGCAAACCTGAGCAGATACATTTCTTGTTCTAATTTATTCACTGTATGATAAATTAATTTACTGAATTTAGGAATGCAGTAACATAAGACAAATGTTTCTTCTGTCAGTCACAAAAGATGAAACTTGCCAGATGCTGTGATCTGGAGCCTAAATTCCCCTGGTGTTAACTGTGTGTGGCTCTTAATATTGCTTTGTCCAGCTTTTGTACCTGACTTGTTTCATTTTGCTGTGATACTGCTTTAGGCAACACTTTCTTTTTATTTTCTATTTGTGTTAGTCTGTCAGAGAGAGAAAATGTATTAGAAGTAACACTAGGATGGAAGGCTATGTTGGAGAACTGCAATGTCCTGTTCCCAAAGTTAAGCCTGTACAGCCAGTCCCATTTTCTGTAAAAGACAATTAATTTTCTTTGAATTAATTTCATTCACATATAGTTACATTGTACTCTGTTTTTAAAATCCTGTATTAAAATGGGAAAGTGCTGTTTAGTGATGCCATAATTTTACTATAATTTAATTTATTTCTTATACAGACTTGGTGAGACTGCATGTGTGTATGTACGTAGACACACAACTGCTCAACTGGTTGAAAGGATTTTTAAGGATATAAAATTAATTTTTCCTTTTCTTCTTGTTTGTTGAAGTTGAACTCTCACTTGCTGCTGATAAAAGGTGGCACCGAGCCAGCTTCCTGAAGGAGCTATGGGGAGGGTCATGGCTTGTCATGACCTGGGCATCGTTACTTGAATGTTGTTATTATTGGGATGAAGTACCCTTAGGCTGTCATCCTTCCTGTAAATAGAAGAGGTTCTGATTCTCTGTGGTTTTCCAGTTTACCAACTTGTAGAACAGCTATTTTGTTGGCCCTAAGTTTGACTGAATAATGAATTAGAAGAATGGCACTATTCTGGAAGGCACTGATTCATCATTTTTGTGTGCTGGTCTAGACTAAGTCATAATAAGTGAAGCCAAAGAAGAATGTATTTCCATATGGTTTATAAATTTACACCCAATTAAAAACTCATTTGTATTGGCATATGGCAAACAAATTGCCCAATTCTGGTCTCTGTGAAGTAAGAACGAAATTGTAATGAGCAGGGAGCGTAGCTAGTCCTGAGAGCCAAACCTGATTTTTTTCAGTGTCATGGGAGAATCCCCGTGGTGTTGGCAGAGGGGCTGACTGTGCTTCCTTGGATTTAGTCAGTGTTTGGCCATTGCTTTGCTTTATTGCCTCCTATGGGAGTAACAGTAACAGCAATTCTGTTAATGCCTTTATTAACTAAACACCTTCTGTCACTAATTTCAAATTAATTTCCATAATAAAATTTAAAAAAATGCCAATTAGAGTATCATGTTTGCAAGATACTTGCCTGTGTTTCGGTTTGACAGGGTACAGTCATAAGCCTGCTGCTGCCAAGGTTTTCACCAATATGTTGCTCTTGTAACTGAAGGCACACCTAACCTGCTGAATATTTCATTTCCCCAATCATGCTATTAAAAACAGAGCATTTTTACCCTTTTATTTTTGTTTTCTCTTTTCCAGTACCATCATGACAGCTGTGGCTGTGTCCTGTTTACAAATTGCTGCTAGTCACATTTTCAGTAATCCTTGTGGGCTTTGCTTTCCCTTAATATGAGCAATTAGGAGGAAACATTTCTCATGAGCATGGACTTGCTCTTCTCCTTGTAATGACATAGTCCTGCAATCCAGGAAACAGTGCTACATGGTGTCCATGTCCACAATTTCCTGATGTGGGAAAAACGTGTGGAAAGCATCTGGAGAGGAGACCCCCTTTACCAGCTTGTTTCCTGTAAGCGAAATTGGAAGACCTTGTCTGTGCAAATAGATTTCAAAATAGAGTCTGCCCTTTGACTGTCCCCATAATTACACTGCGCTCTCTGTATTTTATTTGGCTGCCAGAGCAGTTAACCCCTGGAAGTAAGGGGCTGATGATGGCGTGACCAGCACGGGTATGCAGACATGACCATGTGAATACACTCTTGTTTGGAGAAGCCTGTCATTAAGACCTCGTTACAATATATTTTTACCAAATTTAAAAATTATTACATGTTGGGTTATGTTGATTAAGATATGTTATATCCTTCATGTACAGAAAACACAGAGGTATTAGTTGCAAAAAAAGAAAAAAAAAGAAAAAAAAGTTCTTTCCTGGCTTGGATATAATCAACATCTGTCAACAGAATGAATTTTCTTTTGTTTAATTCAAGGGCTCTTATCCTTCTACTTTGCCCAATCAGTTTCAACTTCTGCCTCAGGCATTTACCTATGTTGTTCTTCCCCTTCATATCCTTTTTTTTTTTTTTTTTCTTTTTTAGCAAATGCACAGGTTATTGCTTGTGAAATGTGAGCTGCTTTTCTGCTATGCAGGTTACACAGAGTTGGAGAGAACCTTTAATCTTTCCCATCCTATTTTTGAAGCTTGGATGTACCTTTGCAACATGGAAATTACAAAGTCAGTGTTTTGTTAGAAAGAATTACAATTACGAGTAAAGATCTTTCAAACCACAACCGTTATTTCAGATTGAAAAATGGGAACATTTGGTAATTAAGAGTAAAAAGCTATATATTCTTACCTAGTCATAATGGTTGGATTCCATGTGTTTTTACCCATAGTGATTTTTAATACCTCGCTTTAAACTTTATTCCTCTGAAGTTTCAGCAAAATGAATATTTGAATATATGAGTATATGGTATACTATTAAAATGACCTGAAGAGCCAAATTTAAGATTTCTATACTAAGAAAATCTCCACAGTCATTCTTTTTTTCAGCTTAAAGAGAAGAATTAAATCACATATTTTGAAGAGTTATCGGAATAATGCTTTTTATTTTGTTAATTATTCATATATATTAAGTAAGATTTACTTTTATCAAGAGTAAGTTGATTTTGTTTCCTAAATGTGTTGAGCATTAATTCTTATAATACTAAATAATTTTGGTACTGTGCTTCTGTTGATATTATAACTAAATTATTTTAAAATATGTTAATTCTGTTTCTTGACTCTTTTAAGTTGTACCCTTGTACTTACTGTAGTTTTGAACTGTCATCAAGTTTATCCTTTGGTAACATCTGCTAACAATCACATTTGATGAATCATGTAGATGAGCAATTTTTTGCACAGCTACCCCACAACTCATTAATTGAAAACAAAGCTAATAAATTGCTCTAACTGTTAAACAAGAAGCGTTAGAAAATAGCTTATGTGAGAGTTCATTTCAAACACCTCCCTTTAAAAATACTTCTTGGCCACAGGAAAAATCACATTTAAATGACTAAAATCAACTTAATTAAGGGTCATTAATAGAGATACATATAAAAAAAACTCTCTACTCTGTGAGTGAAATGGGAGCATTTCATTATGTAGTGTAGCATGCATGAACAGATAACAATTAAAATAGACCTAGAGTAAAAGGCTAATAAATATAGGGCACCTTGTGCTGCAAAATCAGTCACTTAAAATGCTCCCACCCATCATCCTACTATATTTCTGTATTCAGCCCCTTTGGTTGACTCATTTAAAAGAAGAAGAAAATGTAATTTCCACACAAGATAAATTCATCTGGTAATTCACAAAAGCTCACAGTGCATATTTATATCATTAATACAAATTAATGTCTGGAAGGTATGCTGAGGAATCCAGTGGTTCTGGCACAGTGTGATTCATGGTCGAGTCAGAGGGGCAGTTGTCTGTAATTTTTTGTGCTCAGTACATTGTATCTGCTGACGGGATTCAGTAACATGGGTAATAATTCTCCTTATTGCAGCTGATAGTAAATATTCTGTTACTCGAAGCAGGTGACAAAGCTTCACTGTTAGGGGAGAGAAAAAACATGTAAAGGATCAACTCTGCATCCTGACTGTGCCGGTGTGTCACCAGGCTACCCATCTTCAGACTCTGGGCTCTCTCCAATGGCTGCAGTTTCTGCTGGGAGAGGCATAAATCTCACATTTATGAACTATCTTACAGTAATTAATATACACAGAAAGCTTAATAAAAAGGATGTGCTTGAGTGCCAGAGTTGCAGAAGTAAATAAGGCACTGAGAAAAGCTTTGGTAGGTGTAAGGGATGGGAAGGAGGGGATATCTGAGCCAAACATGGAGAATACAGCCAGTTGTTCCTGTCTCCGATGATTGATGATGTTGCTATATCCAATTAGCTGTGAATATGGGAGTCTAAAAAATAAAAGGAGCTGGGGAGGCATTGGGAAGGCCTTCTTAAGGAAGGAAGTGTGTGGATAGAGTCCAGATTTTCATTATAAAACAGTAACTTCATTATATTTTAATGTCATTTTATTTCATTTTATTTTTACTTTGTAGGAGAATGTTTTCTGTTATGATTTTTTCTATTTCAAGTAACGGTTTAGTTACTTTGTCTTTATAATGATTCCGATGTATTTTAGGAGTTTTATTACACTATGGTGATATTTATTTGGTTGTCACAGTTCACCTGTTCAAGTAGTAGGTATTTTTGTATGCATCTGGTTTATAATGAATAGTTAGTAGAATAACAACAGACTACAGTACCTTATTATCCTGTTATCTTGTGACAACAGTTACAGTGTATCTTTAGGAGTACAGAGGTAAAAATTTTATTCCAAATAAAAAGGTATCCTTCTGAATGTGGGATAGTCAATAGGCATGCACCTGCGAATATAAACTGGTTTAGTGTATTTAAGAGTTTGTTACTTGGGACATTTGGAGTTTTATTGTTGAATAATTGACAAGCACAGTTGCGCCTTTTCTTCCCCAATTAAATTTTTACGCAACAGACAAGGTGTCTGGCCAGCATGCCAAGCATCAGGAACATTTGAAATGCTCACATATTGGTGTCCACATGGACTTTAACTGACCACATTAGTGAGTGTGGATTTTCTATATATTCGTAATACCTTCGGCTGTGGTAAGAGCAAGGTGCTTCCACTGCACTCTGTAAAAGAGTTACCTTAGATTATGCTGGTCGACTGATTGCTACTTCCAGTGGCCCAAAAGTTGCTGCCTTGGCAGATTCTGTGCTTCCAGAAACGTGTGCAAACCAGCCAGAGAGTTTGCAGGATGCTTTGGGCTCTTTGGATGCACTTGCACGTTGTGCAGGTTAGATGTAGATGGTCCAGATTTTTTTTTTTTTAATTGAACAATGATTTTTTTTCTTGTGAAGAAGACCCTAGGAAAGCTGGAGATAGTGAAGCTATTGATTAAATTATAATTCAAACATCACCAAACCAATGCAGCCCTCTATTAACTGTGCAGCTCCACTTCCATGGAGACAGTCTCTTCCATTTTGAACACTTCTAAAGCAAACCACATGCAACTATTTCATTCCTTCTGGGTTTTGGGGCTCAACAGAAGGTGCATAACTCGAATCTCCTGTATATCATGGAATACTGTAAAAGGGCTGTCTGTGAAGCCGGGTTTGCATGTGAAAGGATAGTTTCTGCATCTGGACATAATAAATGCATCTAAAGGAAAGGAAGGAAGGTACAAAAAAATAAATTTTTAAAGAGTAATTTTTGTTCAGTTACAAAAAATGCAGTAGATTAATTTCTTAATTTCTGTGATATAATTTTTTTTAGTTACTTCTGTTTAAACAAAACCACTTCCTTTTACTAAAGAGTGATTATTCATATGGGTTACTTGCCACAAAAGATTGCTCTTGTGTTTGTATACATATGACATTTTCAGAAGCACATTAACTATTATGTGAAACTTATGTTTCAAAATCCCTTTCTGTTTAGACTGTAGAATGTTTGAGTAATGGACTACGTGTAATTGTAGTTTAATTGGACAGTGTCAGTAATCCTTTTGAATTTAGTGTATTTCCCATTTTTGACACTATCATCGTCTTTTGTGATGCATTATTTTGGTTTTGATGTCTCTGACAACCTTTGGGCCTCATTGTCTTTTTTTTCCTCCTTTTTTCTTTTTTTTTTTTCCTGTTTTGAGGAGAGCAAAATGTGTCGTGGCTCAACAATGTAAGTTTGAGCAATGAATACTCTGGTGAATTGCCATCCTGAATTCCCATGTGAATTAAATGGAAATCTGATTTCAGTATTCCAAGCCAATTACAGATTTTAAACTCTTCAATTGCCCTTGGCCAAGATTAAAAATATGTTGTGAAGTTTGTTCTGTTGCCCTGCTATGCAGGAAAATCCAAACCTTGTTCCTTGTGTCTCGGCACAAATTACAAGAACCACATTAACCTGTTTGTGCTCAAATCTGTGACCAATTCTGCAAAAACACAGCCAGAAATATTGTCTGAAATCAACATAGTTTCTCTTTTCTCCTCTTTTCTTGTTGCTGTCCCTTATTCATTCTTTCACCAAGTGCAGCTTATAGCCATTATTCCAAGCAAGGGCCAGCTGAAGCATCACCTGTTGCTGTAAGCTTTGAGGAATTTAACCACACTGCTTTTTAATGCATCAAACCAAAACAGACCTGGTGTTTATAAATGTTCAAAGTATTGTTGGGGGAGGGGTTTCTTGATCTCGTTGCTTCTCAGTGTTAATGGTCTTTCTTTAATGATACAAGATTTGAACAACATGAACTACCTTTGGCTACTACATGAGTTCTGTGGTTTGTTTTACGTAATGCCCTTCTTTTTACATACTTTCCATTTTGTAATATGGCAGTAGAAGAAATGTTGACTATTTTTAACTTATCTGTTAACAGGTTCTGTGACTGGCTGCTATGTAATCTTTTCTTCATGCAATCGTATCTACCTGCACAGGCAGTCAAACAATCAACAACGAAGATGCTTCTTTTTTCAGGGACAAAGAAATAGTCCTTATAGTATAGTTTGGCCAGCCACTGTTTCTCCAGCTCACTCAGTTCCTAAGGTACTGCAATTTCTATTATCTAATCTGTTCTTCAGTCAATATAGAGTTGGATTGCAGGTGTGATGAAGTGTAGTCATTGTCCTAGAGCTGGGGGTTTGCATCACCGTCCTGTTGCTTGGTCTGGTATCTGGAATAGCTGTGATAGTAAGGAAAGTTTTCAGCTGCTTACCATGTTAAACACAGTGGTGTATCTAGTTATTAGGGAGTTTAAACCTAGAGCTTGTTCATTTATGGTAGCGTAAATATGGAATATTATAATCATCTGTCAACACTTAGCACTTCTGTGTCCAGATTCTTGGTTGGGCCAGTTGTAGATGGTCCAACCGAAAATTAGTAGGAATCATTCATGGTCATCTGAGTCCTTTTCTGTATAAATCTCTAGCAAGCTAATTATAAAAATGTTTCTGTTTTGCTGAAGGTTTTGTTAGTTGATTATGTCATGTTTAGGAAGTGTACGATACCTGCTGGTAGCTGCCCTGCAGCCCCACTGCACATTCTAAACTTCTCTTTACTGTGCCTGAATTTTTTTGTTGTTGTTGTAACATACACTTTTATTTTTATTTACTTTAGAGCCAGAAGGAAGTTTCTAATGCAATTTTAATATGTATTCCACTTCCGGTTTGCTTTTTTATTTGTTTTTTTTTTTTTTCCATTTAATTACAGCATACAGATAATTTTTTAGTGTCTTTCCTTTAGGCAACAGACAACCAATGTACAAGCAGCTCTTTTCAGAATGTGTATTAGTACTTTTACAATTTTACTTTAAATTTTATTAGATATTTCTTATGCAAAATACGGAGTATTTCAATGGGCCAGAAATACTAAAAAGTTGTTAGATAGGAAAGCAGATAAGGATGCTGGTTGTAAGGCTCTTACACTTGAGAGATTGTGGAAGCTCTGTGTGCAAGGAGAGCGTAGTGTTACAAGCTTTATATATTTTCAAAACGTTAAAAATGGTAGAACTTACAAACTTTTTTTCCATGGATTTTGTATTGCTACTTTTAAGATAAAGAGAGAAAAATATACTGTCACACTGAAGAGTTATCTTCACAGATCAGAGTTCTCAGACTATCTAAAAATAGTCCAGTTCTTCAATTCTGAAAACCTGAGGGCAAAGTTATTACTTTATACAGAGTATGCTGGAAATCACATTGAAATAATGTTGTTTTTTCAAGATGTTGGTGTGAAACTGCATACATAGACATTTGTATGTACACTGCTTTGGGCTTCTCTCTTAACAGATCTTAGAGGTCATAAGGGTCACGTCTCAGCCTTTACTAGATAAGTACCCTCCAAGGGGAAAGCAAGGGTGCTGCTGTTTATGGAGTTGCTAATCCAGCAAATGCTGAGGTTTTTTTTCTAAATTAAATCCCAAACTACTGCAATAGGATGTTTTTAGTGTTGATATGCCATTAATTTAAATGATACGTAAATCTGAGATTTTGTTGACCTAAGCCCACTAAAGATAGTTTCACTTCTTATTAGAGCAGAAATTATATACCCACAGGACTAACAGTAGTCTTCTTAGTTGAAGTCCCACTAGAGCTAATCGGTTGCCCCGCTCTTCTCAACATATAGGAATACCCTCTGTGTTCTGTGGTGGGTAGGGAACAACCCAGTTTTCTACCTGTCAGCTTGTTTCTTTGTTTTGTGACGTCAGTGCAAAACTCACCCTGTGGCAGGCATGGCAGGGAATCAGTCTGGCTGTGGCGGGCAAAGGGACTCCTCCCCAGCTAGTGAAACAGCCCAGGACCCTGAGAGAAAGTACAGTTCCATCACTGTGCCACGTTACCCTTATTACTACTTTCTTGTGTTTACACGTCTCATTAAATTGATGTGGATTTAAAAAAAAAAAAAAGGAACAAAAACAAAATAACATAAAATAAAATAAAAAACGTAAATGCAGTTTCACCTCCATACAAGAGTGAGAACTTTGTGTGGGAAAATGAAGTTTATTGCACTTTCCTTGACACAGCAAATTGAGATACCCTTGCTAGTGTTGCAGATGGACAAATTTGGGCACAGCATATGGACTAGATTAATAAGTAAAAAAACTCTAAATTAAGTTAAATCTTAAGGTGCTTACTCAAAAAGCAATCTTATGGAAGTTAATTGGAGGTTTGCCTGAACAAAAAAATAAGGATTTGGTCAGCTTTATTTTGAGCCTAATTCTCTGCTTGCCCCATCAGTTCCAGTGTTTAGATACCTTTTGTAGGAAATGCCTCTTTGCAGAAGAAAATGAAGAGTTTTTAAGTCTCTTTCTCACAGTTTCAAAACTTAGAACTGTCTGTGCTGGAAGTCAGCTGCAGTATCTGGGGTTTCAGCACTGGCAGGCTAACAGGCTGTGTAAGTCAGTAGTAGCAGGCAATGTTAAGTTCAAAAGGGCAGTGGAAGAAATACTGAGGCAGCCTTGAGGGTTTGCCCTGATGGCTTAGGAAGGTCGATACTACGACAGAAAGGGCAAGCTGCCATGAAGCAGGAGGCAGTATTTGAGAAAATGATCCCATTGTCATGCTCAGTTTTCTGATCTTCATTTTCAATCCTTTTTCTCAAAGCACATAAAAAAGCCAGACTATGTGACGACAGGCATTGTACCAGACTGGGGAGACGACATAGAAATTAAGAATGAAGATCAAATTCAGGGGCTTCGTCAAGCTTGTCAGTTGGCCCGTCATGTCCTGCTTCTGGCTGGAAAGGGCTTAAAGGTAACAGTTACTGAAGTCCCATAACAGCTTGGATGTCTTTCATGCTTTCACTTATTTGGTGTTTTTTCTACCTTTTTTTTTTTTTTAATTTTCCCTTAATGTGAATTCAACTTTAAGTTAGATCCTGGGGGGAAAAAAAAAAAATTACTAACTTTTGATTCAGTCCATTATATGCCTGTTTAATTATTTCTGTATTTTGAACCTATGTAGTACTTAGAGTAAGTTGCTGGCTCAGATGTCTCTCTGTCTCTCTCTGTCTGTAATCTGTCTCTGTTCGAATTGTGCCAAATTGCATGAATTTCTCATAAGTCCCATGCTACCTTTTTTCTTTCACTTTATGGCCCATCTTCCTCATACGTCATGCTTTTGGCTCTGCATGTGTGCAAGTCCAAAGGGCTGGGCTGCTTTCTCCGTTCCCATCCATACCTCGGGATGGGGTCCAATGCGACTTGAAGAGCTGCCATTGGAAAAAACAGCTGCCAAATTCCACACAATTTTCCAGAGTGCATTGTTAATAAAGCCTCATGGCCTTTATTATTCTGGAAATGTTTCTACCGTATGCTTTTTGGGATACCTCCCAAGTTAAAATGTACTGGGAGGAGCCTACTTCTAGGTTTTGCAGATGAAGGAGTGCTTTTTTAGCCTTGCCTTGGTTTTTGAAATAATAATATACTGGATAGGATAAAATGGGTTGAGTAGCTATGAGATACAGAGATAAATGGGGACTTCAGGTCAATGCCATTGATTTAAAAGGGGAAGAAATTATTGGTTTACCATGCATTTTCCTTTCAGTTATCGCAGTTTCTCAGAGGTTTCACCCCAGCTGGGGTGGCCGATAACAAAACTGCCCAAAACTTTAATCTTACATAGGCTTGTGCATGTTTAACTTCTTTGTGTGCAATTATTTCCCAGTACAGTAAAATTTACTCATGTAAAGTTAAGGGCAGATACATGTTTCTGAAGGATCAGGATGCAGTGTGCATTTTGAATGAGAGCAGCTTTTCACTAATATTGTGTTTGTTATCGAGTGTAAAATACGTATGTGTGCATGACGGTGTAGCTTATGATGCAGTTCATAGTATGTGCCAAATCGTACATAATAGAAAAACACTACACACACATAATGAACATTTTGGAGCAAGAAGGTGCATAAGGTAAGAATTACATGACCAGGAGCTGTGGACTGGAAGGGAAGGTGGCGTTTGGAGTAGTGTTGCTGAGATCACTGCCCAGGTCAACTGCAGACAGGTGATGAACTATGTTTTACACTAGTAAGTGTTTGGCCATCACACCCCTGACTGGGAGGATGCTCCAAAACCCTTCCTCATTAACAGCAAGCATCTCCTGCTTTCCATATTGACACTGTGTGGCCAGTTTATACCCATTCGTTCTTGTGGTAACACTGCTCTTCAGTTTAAACAGTTTCCTGTCTTGCCTTGAGTCTGTCCCCTTCATGCAGTAATAGAGCCATTACAGCTTTCACTAGACCAAACTAAACAAACTGAGCTCTTTTAGGCTATTCTCGTAAGATAAACTCTGCATTCGTATTTTATCTGAAGAGCCCCATCCCTCCCCCTGTTTTTGTTGTCTTGCTGAACCCACCTATCTCCCAAATAACAGATGAGGTGCACAGCAGGTGCCTCCCCAGCCTTGCCCAGCTAGCAAAAGCTTCTTTAAAATAAGAGCAGATACTGTTAAAAGCAGAACTTTTCACAGTGTGTAAGGCTGCCACGCAGAGAGCACAGATCTGTCTGATGAGTGTCCAAGAGGCACATCAAATTCCTTGAGCAGAGCAGCAGCAGACAGCACCCAGTCTGGTAGATAGCGGTTCATGGTAGATAGCGCTTCAGTTTGTCTGTGGGCTGAAGATGATAGATGGATGAGTGAAGGCAGGAGCAACAAACCTGTATTTATCCAGAACCAATGGCTGCAGTATCCGATACAGACAGCATGCTGGGGCTGCAGATGCCATCCCAGCACAGAGCTTACGATGGCTACTGCAAAGCAGGGGCTTGGAGAGTAACCCCACATTCTTGTCTGGAGAGGCTTCATTGGTCTTCATCTGCCCAGCTGTGGTTCTGTGCTGGAGAAGATACAAGCTGAACAAATAGACCTAGCTTTATCCTCAGCACAGTGCAGAAGTGCACTCCGCTGTATTCAGTGTGTGTGATCACTGTTATTTCAATATATGGATAACTATGCCTCCTGTGCCACAGCCTGCACAGGAGGCATACTGTTACTATTCCACACGTTACTAAACATTCCTCCAAAGTCACAGCCACTGTAGTGTATGCATACAAGTATGATTCTCAAAACTCATTCAAATCAAAATCAATTTGCAGAGGAACCCTCAAAGGCACTTCTTCTCAATGAGGGAGGTTTCCTTACCAAATTTCGGCTCTAACCATTCCAGAGATAGTCAATCCAAAAGAAAAGTGAGGAGAATGTAATTTTAAGCATGTGCATTTTCCACTCCATTGATACTCAGAAAATGGCTGAATGATTTACGATTTTTTTTTAATATGTAAAATTGTGAGAAAAAGATTAATCTAGAAAATGTCAGGCATAAAAATAAGTATTTCTAAAAATGATGGATAAGCGCTTACAGATTAACAGTGATCATCTAGGCTGTGGCAACTTTAAGAAAAATACCATCAAGGTATGAAGCTAAACATGTAAATCTTTTATAAAATGAAAGAATAATTGGAAAATACTTTTGTTAAATACACAAGTACATTCTGATAAATGTATTAAGGAGTTACACAAATTAATATCCTTTTCGTTACAAACAAAAATGGAAAGTAATGTTGTGTTTAAAAGGACTGAAAGCATTGAAACCAGACATTTCTATAGCAGCTACTGAAACAAGATGCCATGAAAAATTGGTGTCTTTGAGAAAGCAAATGTGGAAAAAAGAACAGAAAGGAAGTAGACAGTACTTTAGGTTTTATAGGAACCTTTGTGTGCTCATTCTGACTGCATACTTTATTTAAAACCTTTTTCTTAAAAAAAAAGTCCGATTTGTCAATAAAGGCCTATAAGACACTGTTTTGTATCAAAGCAGCATATTTGAAACATCCAAGATTTCATTGAAACACTTGGCTGCAATCACATTCAGCAAATACAAGAAACTATCTTTGCTTTTTTAACAGGATGTTATGTTTGGTATTTTAGGTTGGCATGACAACTGAAGAAATAGATTCCATTGTTCATCATGAAATAATCAAACAGAATGCCTACCCATCACCTCTGGGCTATGGAGGTTTTCCAAAATCTGTTTGTACTTCCGTAAACAACGTGGTATGTCATGGTATTCCTGACAGGTATTTACCTAATAATATACAATTTACCACCAGGAATTAAAATGTTAAACTGAAATTAATAAATTGTGTTTAATATTGAACATACTTCAGCTTAACTAAATATCATATATGGTAGTCTTGCGAACACATAATCATGTTACTACACAATGCTGATAGATGTTGTAGAAATGTATGTGAAATAGAGAAAAAAAAATTATCCTGTTTGTCCAAACAGTTAAAAATAGTAGCATAATGCCTTTAGAGTTTAGTGTGTGAGGAAAAAAAACAGTACAGTATGAATTTTTTTTTTCCTCCAGCAAAATAAGTGTAGGGTAAGGAATAAATATATTTGAATTTATGTGGGTTTGTTTGTTGAGGGTTTTTTATTTGCAATACATTCAGCTATTCACAAAGTAAAATTATGAACCCTAGTGAGAGAAAAAGAATAAATATAATGGCAGATTTTTCAGGGTTTGATACGTTTTTCTGGTAGTTGTTTCTCATTATTTTATATTCAGCTACATTTGTTCTCTAAGTAGTGAGAGCTGAACATTAAAAATGGTTATTCTGTTTGCCTCTGCCTGCCTTCATCACAAAATATCTACCCCCTGTTTTTTAATGTATGTGTCATTAGGTGTTTATTCTTATATTCCCTTTGTTGGGAGCTGTCTGTCACCATTATTGGTTTTTTGTCCTGTTTATGTTTCAGTCGACCTCTTCAGGATGGAGATATTATCAACATTGATGTCACAGTGAGTAATTCATATAAAAAAATAGTCTTTGATCAACTTTAGAATCACTAGTAGCAACAGGAAGAATAGTGGATTGGAGATGGGGGATGCACAGATGGATGTGCTGTTTACTTCTGAGCCAAGGCACAAGCAGCTGGTTTCCTTTTTTGTTTTTAACTGTGTGTTTATTCCAGCTAGACCCGGGCCTGACTTGAATTTAGGACTGGAATCAGATGCACTGAGATCAATGTTGGCCTAAGTGAAATGTCAACCCAATCCTGCTATGTGTCATGTTTTTGAGAAGGTGTAATTGTTATTGATCCACTGTGTAGTTAATGCAGAGCACCACAGTACTGGGCAGCTAGCTGAAGATAGATATGTATGAGATGAGCTAACATGAAGAAAGCCAGCATTTTTCCTTCACTCTGCCAAGATTGATCTTCCTCTTCCTGCTGATTTTGAGTGGGGCCTGTCATTATCTTACTCTGTCATTAGAGGCTGCATTGGCCTGTGTATGTCAGTCTATTTGGACAGCAACTCTTTTGCTAGCAGTATTCCCTACATTTATTAAAATCCCCAAAGGTAGTGTTGTGTTCCATTTCTGGTATGAAAGCCCTGAACCTTTTGCACAGAAACAGAAATAGTGTGATATAGCTGTGACTTAATATTTCCAGAGAATGGGCAATTATAGCTATTTAAATAAGCACTGGATGGATTTTCTTAGGAGCAAGAAAATATGGAAACTAGAAACCTAATTCTTATTTCATTTATGAAAAAAAAAAAAAATTATTCACCTCTTGCAGAAGCTTTTTTTCTTTTTACTGTGCATGGTTTTATTTTCCAAAAATACTGTTTATTTCTAATATGAACACAGACATCTTTTGAATCCTGCATTGTTATTTTGAATTAATATGTCACGTAAAAGAGAGTTACATTTCATAACATACATAAAAAACCCAAGCTTTTTTAATCATTAAAGAGACTCTTGGTAACTTGATTCTATTGTCCATGGGCCCAAATTTCATACTGGTAGAAGGGAAGAAATCTCCATTAGACATACCTCTGAGCATGAGATTCAAGCTTTCTGAAATATTTTTTCTATTAAAATTAGGGTCTGTGACCTTTCTCCTGTGGTATACTCACATGTGGTCCAGAATGGGGTTTGGTTTGGGTTTTTTTTAATCTTCTTAAATTCTTCCCCACCTCCATACTTCCTAATTGTAGAATTCTGACTATCATGTTTACAAAGTGAGATCTATAATTTTTGAAGTATATTTTTGGACTACATTTTTACTGTGGTGAACTGGTGTGACATTCCTCATTTTATTAGACTAAATCAGTTTGCAACAGGTAAGGATTTGACGTCTGATCTCTTTGTATCTCATTGAGGTTAATTTTATTTTTATGTTTTATATGTCAGGTAATAATGATGCTTTAGATTAAATAAAAGTGTAGACTGATGTCACAGATACCTTCCATGATAAAATGAAACATCCTTATATTAACCTGGTGTGCATATCTTGTCCACTTTCCTTTACAAATAACGTCTGACTAAATGCTAATGGTCTTTTTGAAGACATCTTTTTATTTTTTTTTCCCCTCAAAATATAAAAAACATCTTGAAGTTTCTGTGAATATGAATATTCCTGCAAGAATGGGAATTGCTGATTATCTTTGTAAGATATTTTTAACATTTAAAACTGAACTGTGTTGTGTTTGATAAGTGCTCAGTTCCAAAATAGCTGAGGAAAAAATATTACTTTTCAGCATTGCTAACTGATCTTTTAGCTTATTTTTAATGAGCAAAACTGGGCCATTTCACAGGTGGACAGAATAAAAATCAAAGTAAATATTGCACAACAAATTTTCTAGAGCTGTGTACAGGTTCTATAAAATGATTAAATAATATTCTGGTTATTAAGAGTAAACACTTCACACTACGTGCAAATTATATGAAGAAAGATACATTTTTGCAGTTAAGATGGTAGAATTTCATAGATTAAATACAAGTTTTATTGGTTTGAATCATGTAGCCTTTCAAATGTATTTTATTGTAGAAATAATAGTATTATCCATCACCAAATCTTCAGTATAGTGCAATATTCAGCCTGCCATTACCAGGTTAATGTTTCTTACAACTTGCTTCTTTCATTGACTTCTAAGGAATTGTGTGTTACAGTTGCTGTAGTTGTAGCTTATTAATGTCAAAAATATGTGAATGCACTTGATGGGCTGCAATTAATAATAATAACAACAATAATAATAAAACTCTCCTATGTTTTAAACCTGTATTTACTTTTCCAGGATGATGATGTTTAATGCTGGAGTTCTGTATGTTGTACTTGATACAGCTAAAAATGAACTTGTTCAGTTTAAATATGAACTAGATAAATTAAAACCTGCTCAATGGGCCTTACATTTAAAAAAAAAAAAAATAAAAAAATTAGTGGCAGTCTGGACTGACAGAAGAATTTATAGAGTACAAGGGATTGGAGCTTCTCTGCGCCAAAGCAGTGGCAACATGGTTGGGCCTTTCCTGGTACTCAAGTTTCTTCAGAACACTCCTTACTCCTAACTGCCTACCTTTTCTTCACGTCAGCCTAAACACAAACCTGGCCTTGGAATAAATTGTCTATAGCCAATTATTTTATTTTATTTTATTTTAT